GCCAAACATTTTCTTATTCAAGTTTCAAATCAGCATGTGTTACGATAGATTATCCAAGTAATCGATTTGTTAAAACGTCATATAAACTTGTTCATGTAATTAATTTGTACTGATTTGTATCAGTGATATTATGATTTCGTTCTCTGTCAATGCGATATATTATATTCCTGGTGAATTTCCTAGTAGATATCGTTATAGAGTTTCCGTATTATTGAGGTTTCCAAATCAAATGCATATAGTAGACCCAAAAACTCTGCGATAATCGACTATTATGTGTTAACGTGATGTAATTTTTGTTATAAAAATGTACTGACAACATTGCAAATCCAAGTGCACCAAAAGTGACTACGATGTATGTATGTGTGTGATTGATTTTAAATGTGTAAATATATTTTTGTCTGTAAAAAGATTTATTTATTATAGTTCCAGAAACGAGTCCTCTCCAGAAACGAGTCTTCTCAAGCGCTGAAAAATAATACAGGATAAGAAACATAACGATAAAAGAATACAAACAATAAGATATAAAAATATGAAGATAAAAAATAAAAATAAAGAGAAAGAGAGAGAGAGAGGGAGAGACAGAGTACAGTGTATTATTTTTACATGGAAAATCAATTACACATATATTATGTATTATACTATAGTTACTTTTTACACACAAAAATTTGCAGTAAACAGAAGACTCTTAGTAGGTGTTCTCAATCATTATATATGGAAAGAATGTGGTTTATTAAAATATCTAAAAATTACAGTGAAAAACATTTCTGATTGAAAATGAATGAACCAGAAAATATCGATTATATTAATCAGAATTTTGGTTATCTCAGCTAGAATTATAATAGATTTAATCAGAACATTCTGATTTGTCCATTTTTCATCAGAATTCCTATTAATACAACCATACTATTTTTCCAGTGTATATTTTCAGTTTTGCAAAGTGTTTACGGTCCCTTGAGCCACAATAAATTAACGGAGAAAAAATAGATAATCAAAAAATAGAAAAAATGAAAAGTAAAGGAAAACAATATTTTTTCTACATGCCTTTAAAGTCGAATATTATTAAGAACAGGTTGTGTAGTATAATACGTAGGTATGTCAGTTAAGTCGAACAGCTCTATCTGGAAAATATATAAAGACGATTTTTCCGAAAGCAAAGCCTCGAATAAAAAAAATTTATTTTATTTTTTTATTTATTTTTTCATAGAATCATCTTCTTCCTGATTGTAAAACAACTTTCAGAATACTTAATATATTTGCGTGTTGGAGAAAGAAAAAGCAAACGATGCATCGTTTTATCCTTATTTAACATTTATGAAAATGGATAAAATAGCATATCATGTTCATTATACATATAAAAACGGAACGCAGCCACAAATAGACTCATAATGTCGTTGACAAGCAACTGACCTTATTTTTTTTTTACAAAAAATATAAGCTAAATCTAAAAATTGTAGGACTTCATTCTTAAATATTTTTAAACTATAATTTGTAACTGTCAGACGTCTGTGTATTAATGTATGAAATTTTTGCGCAATATATCTGAAATAATATCCAAATAAAGCATAAATCATCATAATAACATCAAAATAGTATCAAATATAGCTATAAATTTAATTATTAAAAGTCACTTTTCAATTATCTCTCGATTTATTTTAAAGTTATTTTGATGTTATTATGACTTTGTTCTGCAATATTACCCTTGTATACAAAAATTTGTCCTTCGTTTTCATCAACATTCACTCATTGAGAACGAATTTCTCATTCATGAATTCCTCAAAGAATTTCTCATAATAATATTAAAATAAAGGACCAACTTGAGTTTTAAAAAAATAAATAAATCTGAAAGACAACACGATCTGAAATAAAAGTTCGTCCTTTACAATAAAGTACGTACGATCACCTTACATATACGATGATGATCAATGATACTGAAAACTTTCACATTTTATAAATGTTTTCATTTTATTAAGTTAAAGTAAACAGAAGACACATCTTTCGTGAATACTGTTTTGTTGTTGCGCTTTGTGTACAAACGGTCGGTAATTTCCCAGAATAGGACTTCGCTGATTCTCCGAATTTCTCGGCTACGAGCGTCTCGCTGTTTTTTGACGCTGTTTTGCTGAGTGCTTTTATTCTAGGAATCCTGAAATATTTTAGAAATTCGGAGCGTTAAAATACGTTGGAAACACCCTCATTGTTTTTTAATCAATTCTTACTTTCTATAAAGGTCGTTTCACTTAATAATGAATTTACGAAATTAAAGAAATATAAAAAATTGTATAAATTAAAATAAGATAAAACTTAACTAAGACTCAGGTTATACCTTGTTAGTAGAATTTGAAAGTTATCCGAGTTATTTTATTCTGAAAAATTACGTTTTCATTTATTGGATGTTAACAATAATAAAACAAGGTTTGCTTCTTTAACTTTATAAACGATTTATTGTTTGATTCATTCATTCATCTACTGTTTAATACTGCGATGTAATACGATTTTGATATTAATTAATACATGGAGATATATTATCGGCTTATCGATCTGTTGAGATTACAAGATATAAATAGTCGGCATAGAAATGCAATTAATCCGGACAGACTTCTTGTCGGAGACTTTAGGAAGATATATTTAACGATTATTAACTGCTAACTGACGCAGACATCGATGTCTGTTCTATTCTCTTTATCTTTAATCTAGATCCTACCCCTCCCATTAACTTCCGTTTAATAATTAATAACAGTGTATTTTTAAATTTTTTATAAAAATAATCATAGTTATTTCAGATAGACCGCGTCACATGTCGATTAAAAGAAAAAAAGAAAACATGTCAGTTAAAGAATTTATGATACCAGATGTGCAGCCGATGTTAGAATATCTCTTGGAGATGTTTTTTATATCGTAGATAATCCACAAAGATTTATTACCGTATCAGTCGATGTGTTTCTTGATATTTTTTTTTGCTGAAAAAGAGTCATTTTTTAAATTGTAAAGACCGTAATTATGAAGGCACCTAGCAATTTTATACTATTATATATATGTAATGTGTTTATATATTCTACTTATATGTGTATTCTATGTATTTTCTAACAATGAACTTCCCTCCTCTCTCTTAAATTTGCTGCATATATTGAAATAATGGATCCTCAAATTCGTGGTCACACACTACGAATCTCGTAATCCTAATATCTCGATAATCCGATAATATATATCCGTATATTAATTAGTATCGAATTATCGAGATCGCATTGTATTGACACGGTCCGTTTTACAATTCGCCCGTAAATCTGTTTTTTGTCATAAATGACGGAAATTAAAGACAATAAAAGATGAACGTAACAATATAGAATTTATCCAAATTTTTACGTGAGAAAGTTACTCCTTTCAATCTCTCTCTCTCCCTCTCTCCCCCATTTATTTTGCCTATCCCTTGCTATACCCTTCATTTTTCATCTCGTGGGGATCAAATTTTCTATATTCCGGTTTCTTTCACATTTGTATAAATGATTCCTCTAGGATTATGCATCAAATTTCAATGTTTTATTTCCACAGTCAATATATAAAAATAAATGGATATTGTGTATTTATCGAATGATTATTAATATTGATGATTTTGTTGTAATATATTAAGCTATCTATTATTCAACGTTAATTTATGACTTTTACTGTTACGATCAACGTGATTGAGATACTTTTGTTTAGGCAATTCCTATAAATATTTATTTCTATATATACAGATCAACACGCGATGTAACAGCGAAAATGATTATTAAAACATTCATAAATCAGTATGCACATTAATCAAATTATTACAGCATTTTTCCTACTTTTATAATGCTATGCTGTATCTTCGAATATTAAAATTAACTACTTAGTTTTGAATTTTAGAGCAATTGAATTAACAATTTGTTATTTCGAATTAACATTCTTGTTTGAAAAATAATGGAAAAAAGAATTGAGTTGATATAGGTCAGACCAACATCGATATAACTGGCTCCTGTTTCAATTTTGAAAATACCTTGAATTATTAAGAGTTAGAATTGATCGGTTTGAATTAATAGTAATATAATTACAATATAATTACAACGGCCTCAACGATTATAATGTAACACTATAGTAATCAGGCTTTTTTGTTAAAACATTTGTTTTTTGTGCACATAAAAGAAATCACTTGTACAACAATTCTGATAGCGTTGATTCTGAATAGAGTTTTTAACAGGATAGGGCAAATGAATCTTGAATTTTGAATTCAAACGTTGAATGAGAAACTTGTCTCGCACAAACTGTCGGTCGTTTAATTGTCGAACCCATATTGCGTCATACCGCAAGTTTGGAAGCTGGGATTAATGTCGGCGGACGACAGATTGCAAATTGAAATTTGAGAAACGTGGCATTCAAAAATTTCATATGATATTTGTTGAGTGTGTAGTAGATTTCAATATCACACAAAATTTTCGATTTCTGTTATTACAATTTTTTATATTGATTTAACCTAGATATCTGGTTGCATGACATTATAAATCATATGATTCACACACATGCGATGTACGTAAATGTACACTTTTATTAAATCGTTTTGTGACTATAGGTAATTGGATATCAATAAATAATTATGACATATATTATTCAGCAATTTCTTTTTTAATAGCAAGCTTTATTTGCATATTAAAACAATTTTATATTTATTTAAAATTTAATTCTTCTCCTTCATCCCTTTTTCTCACTTCCGTCTATATATTTGCAATACGCGAGTATAATGTTAGCATTTCATTACTTTTATTTATTTAGAATCATTTTCTTTCATTTATTCCTACTTGTATCTCGATATTTAATTGATTATTCCACACAACTGTTAAAAAGTGCGTATAAAAATATGTTTATCACAATGTGTTTGAAAACATTTGAAGAGCACAGCCAGCGCCATCTGCAGATTAAATCCCAATGCGTGGTCGGTAAAATCAGGAGTAAACTATCGTCTGCTTTCAATCCACACGTGGTGACGACTACCATTGTTTTCGGTGAACAAGTAGTAGTTTTCGAGGTTATATTTTACACGTCGAGCAATATTATGAATTACTCGTGACGTATAACGCGCATAATTAGTTATTTATCGTCGCAGACGAATCGGACTATAAAAAACGTTCACTTTTACTTAGATTCGGGCGTTGTGAGATTTTTACACAACATGCAAGGGACCGGAGACAAAGTTTGGACGGATGAGGAGCGTTTGCAGCTTGCTGCGAAATTAGACGCCGAACTGGACGAGTACATAAATAACTTAGAGAAAAAGAGTTATGCGGAAGGATGGCCGGAGGACAGGTGGCAAGAGGAAATGGAGAAGCACCCTTTTTTCATGAAAAAGCCACCGGAACCCGGCGACGAGTTGTCTCCCTTGATGGAGGGATTACAACAACTCAAGTACGGGGAGGATGAGAATACTCCTGAAGGTACGTTTTTCTTCAATACTTGCAGATTATTTGTTACACTCTGTCCTTAAACTTTATAGCAAATCGTTCACTTATTGCATCAAGTTAGTGTACATACACTAAAAGCTGCTATACATGAATTAGCAAAGTTGAATGTAAAAATATATAAATACTCTGAACGATTAACTATCTAATGATTTTTAAACAAAATATACATTTATTAGTTTATTGTTGACGTTGATTATATTATGCTACTTTATTTGGATACTTTATATAAAGCAAATTCGATCACTCACGTTATATTACATTAGTGCATATTAAAAGCTGTGATACATGAAATCGACAAGTTAAATATAGAAGTGTGGTGAATATATATATAGATATATATATATATATATATCTATTTTTAAATGATTATTAAATTTTCAAAAATTGTGTCATTATTTAATAGAGTATACATATATTATTTCATTGTCAAAGTTGATTATATTATGCTGTTGCATTTAGATACTTTATATAAAGCAGCCTTTAATGTGTACTGATCCAGTGTAGTGCAAATGACTAAATTCACCATATACAGCAGTATTTAGGTCTGTTTGCGTTGCTTGCATTTTTTGCACTCAGCATCTTTGCTTTCTCTCTTCTCAACACCTCAAATACCTCATTTTAAGTTCAAAAATTTTTGAGGATTTTAAGCGACACAATTAGACCTTTTAATACATACTGGTGTAGTTTGAATTCACTATTAAGATACTAGATAATATGCATGTCTAAAAGATCTCATTTTGATGCGTTTTTTTAAGATATCTTTTAGACATGTATATCCTAAAAAACGCCTTCATGGTATTTTTATGACATCTTTTAGACATGCATGTTGTCTAATACACAATGATTTTCCAGTCCTTTATTACATACGACGAATCATTCGTGTCTCTAGTTTACTTTCATCACTTTTACAAATATACAAAAATTATTAGGTATGTAGTATTATACATCTTTACACATCTTTAAAAAGTATTATATTTGTTAAGTTGTGTATTAAAAAAAAGAAATCCAGATAACATACACAAGATACCTAAAAGATGTCTTAGATATGCAACATAAATATTATTTGGAAAGGAAAGGATAGAGACCATATTATTTCCTATAAGTATTTCAAAGAAAAAAAATGTACGATGTATATACAGGTCACGAATGATCTAATCGTATGTACTATTATGGGTTGATATTCGTTGTTTATGTGCAAAATATATGTTGCTTATTTCTCATGCAACATATTTATTGTATACTTTTAATGCAGAATTGGCGAATAATTACAAGGAGGATGGAAACTTTAATTATAAGTATAAAAAGTATCGTCTTGCTATTCTTAGTTATACAACAGGAATAAAAACCAAATGTAAAGATGACGATTTAAAGGCTCAGCTTTATAATAACAGAGCCGCAGCACATTTCATGTTGCAAAATTACAGGTAGTCAAGCCTTCTGATAGGTTGCATTGAATGATTAATGCTAATGGTAGCCTGAAATATATAATATTATTATATTATATTTTGATGTAATAAAAATTACAGATCATGTTTGAATGACTGTAAATTGGCTTTAAAGTTTAAACCACAATATCCAAAAGCTTTGAATCGAGCTGCCACTTGTAGTTTTTACATTAAAGATTATGACCAATGCATCGATTTATGTGACCAGTTTCTTAATCAAAGTCCAACCGATAAAACAATATTGAAATTAAGATCTGATGCTGTAATTGCAAAAGTAAGAGTAATAAATATTAATATATAAAAATTAAGTTACGAAATCAAGTTTCATTCTTCATGGTATCTATTGCTTTGTTCTCAAAGGAACGTTTACAAAGAGATAAGAGAAAACGGGAAAGAGAAGAGAAAAAATTGGATAAGGAAGATGAGAAATTGTTAGAAACAATTTCTCGAAAAGATATTAATTTAGAATTGGCGAATGATAAACAAAAGCTAGAATTGAGAGATTTAGAGCCGCAAGTGCCGCAAATAGCACAAAGCAGAGTACGCTTTGACGAGGACAAGCTTGTGTGGCCAGTAATGATTTTATATCCAGAGACTCAGCAAACTGACTTTATACAAAATTTTCACGAAGATACGTTGTACGTCTTTTTATCAAAATACATTATACGTTATATATAATTATATTATTAAAATATATCTTTTTAATTGTTTATAGATTAATTGAACAATTAATTGAATTATTCGAGGAACCTCCTGAGTGGGATGTAAAACATCGTTATACCATAGAAAATGTAAATGTATATTTTGAAGGAAAAAACAAATGTTCCATTCATAAAGTAGACATCCAGCTCACGTTGGATGAAATATTACGAGACAAACAGTGAGTTTACCAGCAATGTTTTATAAGTAAAGCCATAAGCCGAAGAGCTTATTTTTAATGTCAAAATTAATCTTTCAGGTTCATAGTTCGCGGCGGTACACCGGCTTTCTTGATACTTGTAAAGTCCAGTGAAGCTGAGAAACATTTCTTAGCAAATTATTAAGCACCTGTATTATATTATACGTATATTAATTGTACATATTGTATACATTTATTGTTTATTGACAATAAAATTTACATTAATAATGTATACATTTATATATCTTTGTATAATATATATTTTTGTGATAAAAAATACATAAATTTTCTCTTATAAACTTTTTACATTGTTAAAATTGTTATATTGTTAATGACATGAAGCGAATATACCGCATACGTGTAGAGTTGCCAAAATTGTGAGTCGAATGAAAAAACTAGTTTCCCCAAAACATTTTACCTAACACGAAGGCCTGAAAAGGCTTTCTTCCATGCGAAACGTTACGTACGAACGAAAACACGGTTAAAAATTTGTGATCGTTCCTGGGTCGCGTAAAAAAGTAGAAATACCAATGTGCTTTTTAGATCGTTTTGCGATAAAAAAAACCATCTGTCTGGTGAAAGACCGGCGAGTTCCCCTTTGACTTCGAAACACCCATACGTGTTCATGTATATACATGGTTAAAAATTTGTGGCGGTCGTTCCCTTTTGTACAAAAGAATAGCAGTACCATTGCATTCTCTCCTTGAGATGCTTCACGGGAAGAAAAAGTACCTTGTTACAAGCCGGGACCCGGAAGAGCACCGTTTAGCCTGGAACACCCCGCGTGTGGGAGCAAAAACGCGGCTAAAAATTCGGTGCGGTTATCTTTGCGGTTTTTTTTTTTTTACAAAAAGTACGAAAATGGCTCTCCTCAGGGCTTGGGGACCAGGAAGAGAATATAGTTTCCTGAAGATCGTGGACGGACAATAAACAATTTCCTAAAAGTCGAGGGATCGGAGATAAAGAATGACTTTCTAAGAAAACCTTCATCGAACGAAAGGCTGATGAAAGACTTTCTATTTCAATATTATGACCATCCTAAATCCTTAACCACTTTTTTTTACTCATATATTACTTCAAACTCGGTCCATCGTTTGAAAAAAAAAAAGGAATTTTGTTGTATCCTTTTTTTTACTATTGCGATTACTGCAGTCCAGAGAGTTATGTGAATACGACTTTTATAAAGAATCGGCAAATGAAAAAGGAATCGTACATGATACTCATAAAGTTTTTATCGAAATTTTTTTTTCAAGATTTTTTTCTTAATAAATCGATTGCTTTAGCAAAAAGAGAGAAAGAGAACGTGTTTGATCTTTTCCCTGCAATTTGTTCTCACGTTCTCCGCAGCGTGATCGGTAAGCGACAGGGGGTCGTCGATCGGAAGGTGGTGCCACCTGCAGCACCTGTCTACGCCAGGTGAGAATAAAGAGGAGCCGCAGTAGCCTGAAATTCAGTTGGGCCGACGCCGTGGGACACGTGTGTATATCTCGAATCCGGTCGCCGCGGAAATTATATCGAACTCGCGGCCGGTTCGGTGCTGAAACGCTTGCGGTGTGCGAAAATCGAGGGATTCCTGCTGAAAGAGCACGAGGAAGGTCGGCGTGACGCAAAGGCCAGCATTGGTTCAGGACCTTCAAGGTCCATCGTTGGAGAGAAAGAGAGAGAGAGAAAGAGAGAGAGAGAGAGAGAGAGACAGAGTGAGAGACGCGGCAAACGAAGGAACGTGCACGGCGGTCGCGGAGCAGCGGAACGGGACGCAAACGATGCCAAAGCGATGCAGGTAAATTCCTCGCGTTACTCTCTTGCTCCTCGCGGAAATACCCGCGCCCCGCGCGAATCCCTTTTCGATACGACCGGCTTTGTTTCGTCGGTGTGCGGCGCTGGTCCGAAGCATCGCACCTGCATCGCCGGAGCAAGAGTCGCCGAATCAACGACGCTTGTGATAAAATAACGCGAGGAAAAAGTTGCTTTGTCTTTTTTTTTTTTTTCAGAGACACGAAACTAACAGTTGGCGTTTCAGCGAATTTTTAATAAAACTTTTTCCGACTCTTTGATTCGTTCGCGTTTCAATTATATTAAATTTACGATCGACTCTTTACGTTAATTGTTTTTCGTTATTTATAACTTTTGATTTATTTATTTTTAAATTATTTCCTCTCAAAATATGTTATGTTATACAGTTAAATAGAAGTGATACAATAGATTATTAAAAGGTTGTTATAGTGAGCTTTTTTCTTCTGTAATTTAGTATAGAATGTAAAGAATTATTGTATTTGCATATTAAAATACAGTTCACCTTCTACATTTTAGTCTCCCAATTTGGAGATGCGTCAAAAAAGTGATGCTGGGACGCTTTCAAACTTTCTCAAGCCTTTACGTAGGCATTTTTAGTGATCAATCATTTGGAAAGTGTATCTTATCTTTGAATATTGGATGTAATTTAAGAATTTTGAATATACTTTTTTGATAATCACTTTCGTGATTGTACGTGAAATGTAATTAATGTACACTCTTGCTACATAAATTTAATTTAAATTTTTCTCATATAACGAATTAACAAATATTTTGTTAATAGATATTGAAATGTATTAAGCTTGATATTTTAATGTTGATATCAAAACACGTTTGTTTATATTGTTTTACGTTTAGACACAAACAATTCCGTGTACATTTCAACCCCTTCAGGTTAACTCTTCTACGTACATTGTAACGTACATCAAATTTGAAGACATTCGTTGAAATTATTTAATTCCATCGACATAATAATGTGTATTTAAAAAATAGTCAAATTTTTAAGAAAAATTAATTGTCTATAGTAAGAATTACTTATTAAAAATATCTACTTAAAAGAAATTATTTTTAATTTTGTTCCAATAAAATCAGGTCCGAAGGAGTTGACTTTAAATGTAAAGGACGTGGTGAATGTCAAACTGATTCACTGCGATTTAAAAAATTGATATCAAATTCCGTTTTCACGCACTGCTCCTGAATTTGCATTCGTGTCGGTGGCCGTTGTCTCATCTTTATTTCGAAATAAAGCGAGGAATGCGTAATGATAATGAGCCGATCTGCGCGAGATCGACATGCCGCGTACAATGCCATTAGTACTCTACAATGGAACTATGTCGGGCATTAAATTATTCATGGGATAGCTGTTGCATCGCGTCCGCGACGATCGGCGCATCGCGGCGCGCATTCCGCGCGCTGCGTGACAAAAGTTTTACATTTGAATGCAATCTGGCGTTACGGTGTGATTTTACAAAAATTGAAAGCCGTCGGTTCCACCCGGTAGAACTTCGTCGGATCCGCTTTTTCTGGGTCAAGTCAAAACAGATCGTCAGAGGCGGGGATCGATCTCGTGTGCGCGCTTCTCCATCGGGAAGAATCGCGGAGAATCGCTTCGCTCGGAATTCGCTGGTCTCGAAGGACACGTCGTAAGGGAAGAGGGACACACTGTGTGTCGATTGTGTGTCCTAGTTTTGCGCAAGACGCACCGGGCCATGGTGCATCTCTCTGTCTGATATCCCGGGGGCAATATATGTCGACGAAGTTGCGTCACGCGAGGCACGCACATCGTGCGGCAAGAAAAATGCGCGAGCGAACCGACCGCCGAACCGGTTATAACGACGAGTCAACATCCAGCGGATCGCGGACCGAGAGAAAGAAATGATATGGAGAATATCACGTATTCGATGTCCCTGGTAGAAAAACGAAGCAGGCGTAAAGATAAAAAAATATTTACAAGTTAAAAATAAAATTATTTACAGTTTCAAGATGCATTATCAGTGTCAGGTTATTAAGATCTTTCTAAGATGCCGATGAGCACCGATTTTATTGCATGTAAATTTAACTTGTGATATTATTACTTAAGTTCTGTTATGATTGCGTTTCAACACAAAAGAATTAAATTCAGCGTGCAGTTTGCAGAATTAAATATGATATATAAATTCTCACCGAATTATTTAAGTACTATAATCCATTTTAACCGTTCAGAATTTTTATATCTTAATTGTTGTTCACATGCTAGTTTTAAGAAATACTTTGTTTAAAAAAATATTTATTTATACTCTTGTTTTTAAATAAATTTAAGATTATCATTTTAAAATAACTTTTCCAATAATTCACACATTGAGAGAAAAATGTATTAAATTTTAACAAATAATTATTTGAATATTACTTATTAATATAATATTTATCTCTGAAAAATAAATATTTACTAAACAAAGTGTAATAATGTAATAATTAAATCAAATTAATGGTTGCTACACCAAATAAATATATGTTTACCTTTAATAAATATTTAATTGGCACTATTTGTGAACAAATATAATATTTATTAAAATTCATTACATTTTTCTCTTGCAGAAAAGTAATTGATATCGAACATTCTCATACTTATTACCTTATTTAGCATTTTGTGTTAAATTAATAATAAATTTTGACTTGTCTCATTTGCAATAATCTATTTTATCTCAATGGTCTTAATTATAATAGTAGGTTTAAATATGATAGGATAGGGAAAGTTACATATAAATTGCTTTTTATAGAAATCGAGTACAATAAATAAGTTCGTATATTTTATATTTTATCATTTGCTTTGATTTTGTATTATTTTTTGTATTCAATTTCTATAACAAATATATAAGGTGACCTAAAAAGTAATTTTTGTAAGTAAAGTTACTTATATGTGAAGTAACTTCTCAATCCTGACAAATGAATATAATAAACAATGCATTACACGAATTCACACAGAGATATTTAAGCACTATAAGATCTGCTTTGACAGAACGTAAGATTTCTCTTATTTAACTGAATGTAATAAATTTAACAATTTTGACGAAGAAGAAGTTAAAACTCAGCATTTCAACACGTGCACAGTAAATATCGGTTGAGGATACGAAATATTTGTTGTATTTTCACACAATGGGCTTAAATTTGATAGAATGTCTCGACGTCTCCGGTCGGCAAAATTCACTCGTGACAGGTTTGATTTCGCGTGGAGACAATCGGGATCGTGCAGATTCCGATCCTGGAACTCTCTCTTTGTTTCCGTCTCCCTCCTTCGGTCCGTCCGTTTCTACTTCTCCTAGGCGACGATGTTTCACACAACGCGTATGTGTAGTCGCGACGTGACACGGTCTAACGGCATTCACCCGACCTCGTCAACCCATTCCTCTCCCGTGTATGCGTGCATTCCTTCGTCTTCTTCGCTCCTACGTCTCGTCTCGTGATAACACTTCCGTCACGCGTGTGCGCGCACAATCGTTTGTCATATCGCGACGGGTCATGCGAATCCGACACGGTGCGGAGCAGTCATGTCAAAACTCATTTTATCTCACGGGCCACACGAGCAATTTTGCACTATTTTATACCGACGGTTATGTGTTTTCGACATCTACCGACGTACTGGCGTCTTGAATCTGGATCCATCTCTGAATTTTGTCCGCGAACGTTCAGAAAACCAGCAGCTCGGGATTACTTTCGATGCGGCTGTTTAGAATCCAATTTGAAAATTTTCTAAAGTAGTAACCATTTATAAAAATATTCAACAAGTAAAATATACTAAGCGTAATAATGAAAGTAATAAGGAATGTTCTTTTTTCTTTTTTTTTCTCATATTTTTATCTGTTATATTTTGTTATTATTTCTCTTTTATATTTTATATTATTTTATCATGTCTTTAAGTTTTATATTAAATATATATTATATATGCATATATTATATTTTAGATTAAATCTCCTGAAGAACGCTTCGTTTTAATATTCTGCAATTATCGTATCCTGTAATCCGGTCTGCCATGCACGTCCTGTACAAATAAAAACCAAAGACCAGAGAGATTAATGAACTTCTTTATCATATAATTCAATAAATTAACGCAACTATATTCCTATCCCGCAGATACGTAGAGTATCGCTCATTTGAGAGAATGGAATTTGTTTTACGCTCTGGAATTTCCTTCCCTTCCTTCGATCGAGTATTTCCTACGTCACACGGCTAACGGAGATAGCTCGGATAGTAATAGGAAAATACTTGGTGCACATTTAAGTCCGCATTTAATAATATGCAGCGGCGCGCATGCAATACGTTACGTCGCGACAATTGCTGCTCCAGTTCTGTCAAGAATGTTGCAGGACAGCATTATGCATGAATCTCTGCTTAAACTCATTTTCCGCAACATCGATAAATAAAATGATATAAAAACAAGCGTTTGCGCACGATTTCGAAAATCTCGGGACAATAATTTCAGTTTTGCTCTCGGAACCTCTCTTCCAATTTGAAAGTCTCGTGAATGACCACGAACGAGAGAGAAATGATCCCGGACAGCTATGTTACGTAAAAACTTAAATGCAAACAATATCAAATTATCTTTCTTCGAGTTTAAACCAACTGTTCTGACTTCTGTGATCTTTTTTGGCAGACCATTTCAACTTTAGTTATAATATATGTAGTTATAATATATTTAGCCATGAAAAAGATGTGAATGTAAATCTTGACGTACTAACGGCAAATAACAAAGTTTCTTCCAGCAGTAATGAAGTACACTTGAGAAATGTCAGATAGCAAGAAACGGTTATTACATCGCGCCTCTTAAATTTTATCGTACCGTTAGCGATTGTCCCGCGGTTGCCTGCTTATTACAGATCATTAGCAATTCGTTTCATTTTATTTTAACGTTGAGAATTTAAGTAGCATCGTATCTTGCAGAAGCCAGTGTGAGACTGGTTCGAGCTCGGAGAAAATACGAAGCTCTCCGTATCTTCTCCGTTTTCCGCATCCCCAATGAAATTTCCTCATTCCATTTCGCGCGATCTTAAACGGAAGGCAGCTCGGTAGATTTGTGTATTTTTACTCTAAAAATATACGCCGGCGTTCTCTCTGACTTTTCAATTCAAATTCAGGTCAATGCGAAATGAAACTCTATTTTCCCAACAGTCTCTCAGCTTCTATTTGTGCTGTTTGTCAATTTTGTTCTTGGAATTTTCATACAAAGGCGTTACTTTAGTAATGCTGAAACTTTGTTTCTTCCTGGTTTTATGTAAAACTTTGAAGTTGGAAGAGAGAGAGAGAGAGAGAGAGAGAGAGAGAGAGAAATTCAAGAGAGAGATTATTTAAATTCTAAATATGCTTATTTAATAATTCTTACTTTTTAAATGCTTTTGTTTTAAAACTTTCTCTATTTTCATAGAGATCTCTGGAACATCTTAAAAGAAAGTACAAAACAGTCCTTGTGTTATTATTAAAATAATGCGATCGTGTGTGTAATACATGTATTTATTTACAACGTTGAGAATAAAACGTAATGCTTTAGACTGTCGGTACTTTGAGCCAATTTAAGCTATAAGAAAATAATGTTTAAGATTAGAAAAGTAAATGTGTCGTATTACTTTCTAAGAATCTATTGTACTTTGATATTCGACTAGGATTTCTAACAAAAATGTATTTCGTTTCCATATATCTTATTCGTCACTGTTCCATCTTTGTATTCTCTTACAAGAAGAAAACGCTAAAGTCTAAAAATTTAAACAATTGCTTACTATTTGAATTTAAAATAAGACTAACGAGATAATAAATCTATAAATTAAGTTTTACTAGATGCTTATTATAATAAAAAATTATTAAATTACTTACACAATTTAATAGGTGATATTGCTATTCTCTGCATGAATGCGTTTCAAATCCGGAAAAACAATTCGGCGCAACTTGTGAAATCAGAAATGTACATCAATTTACAACAAATAGTTCAAGCATTTAAGACCTGCTTCAACCACAAATAGGAATTCAATATAGGAATCCTTTATACTTAATTAGATCTAAAATTTTAATTATAATAGTTATTGCAGATTTGAAAATAATTTGTTGGACCATTAAAATAATTAAAATACAAAAATGATAAGTGCTGCAAAATGTTGACATTCTAGCAATTAACTTGAGAGTTCTACATAATTATTTTAATGATCTAACAAAATTATTTTTAGATTTGTATATCTAGCTAAATTAGTTACTGCAACGAGATTCTTTCCGTGGACAGTTAACACAGTTTACACAGCGAAATTTTGTGTAATTTAGTCACCTAACGTATCGCTTTCTGTTACAGTTGACACATCGTGAGATCTCACGTGGTAAAAAAACACACGTTACCAAGATACCATTAAGAAGTCCCGACATCAAACGGTACTCGAGGTGGATTCTAAAACGTCGACGTTTCAGAATTCTTAGAAATCACGCACAATAGGATTTGATTGGAAACAAAGGAGCAAGAAAATCGTCGCGCGGTAATTTAAGCGACACACGTTGTCTTCGAATTGAGAGAAACTTCTCTGCTGCGTCGAGTTAAAGTGGAGAATTCTCCTCTTCTAACTTTGCGAGCCGACAGTCGTCGAAATATACGTAATAAAAGATTGTGGAGGTATCCACAGCCGAACGACTTTCCGCAATCCACCACCTGTGGCTTCTGATAACTCCTGTGATAAGGAGAGAAAGAGGAGCACCGCGACGCTACACCGCGGGGGTTTCGACTTTCAGCTCAAGATTAGTGCTAAGCCCTCATTTTTAAAGAACACTCTCTTTCTATTAACTCAGGTAGATGTACTTCCGCAAGTCCCGAAAGGAATATTTCTATGGTATTTACGACTAAACGATTGATTATCAAGTTTCTTCCGCGATTTCAAATACTTTTCGAAAAACTGACCTGCTGAAAGGAACAAAAGTACAAAGGAACGTTTGCTTTAATAAATGAGAGAAAAGAGACTCTTCTAAGGCGAGACCATTTGTTCTCGTTCAAAGATCGGTAGACCATCTTCCAGCGGATCAACGCGGAACGGACACTGCCGGAAGTGATCTCGAATAATCGCGTCGTAAAGAGATCGTTGTAGAACACGGTAGAAAGCGCATCATCGGATCTCTGAAGAAGATTCTAAAAGAGATCCCCCGAAAAAAATTCTACGCTATCGGAAGTGAGACTAGCGGTATCTCCTTCTTTCTTTTTCATTGAGAACCGTGGAAGGTAATTCACGAAAAACGGCGAACCACTACGGGGTGCATTACGCGAACTCGTACGCGTGTAGCAACGGCGCACCGAGTGTGTACACCAGCACCGGTTGTTGCACGAACATCAACGGTGGCGGCTTCAATGTGCAGCAGCCGCAGCCTCACGAGGATTATCGGCCGATCTACTTTTACGTGGCGCAGCCTTACACGATCCCGTACACCTTCGCCAAGAGACCGAAACCCGCCGCATCGTCATTGCTAAGGGCGGCGAAGCCGCGCGGCAACAACTGTCGTGTCAAGTTCTCCAAGAAACTCGGAAACGCTGACTTCTCGCAGAAGGTCAAACAGGGCGAGTTCTCGCGGAGTCTGAATCAGGTGCACTTCGCGGAGAGTCAGGGTCAAGGTAACTACACGTTCTTTCAATTCACAGAAAGACAAATTGAAGGAGAGCTTACTTTCAGTCTGCTTGAAATTTGTTGCTTCTAAAAAATAGTTTATATATAATTCTCTTGTAAACTTGTCAGTTATTTAATTTGATCATTAATTGAATTATTGATTTAATTCACTGCGTATGAAGCATAATTTGTTTGATTTAATAAAATCAATTTTTCCAGTATAAAATATTTATAACTATGTGCGTGCATCTATTATGATTTCTCGCTTCAGTAACGTTTTTTCTCAATAATCTGTTATGTTTATCTATTGTTGCATAATTGAATTACATATTCAAGGTATAATAGAGTATGCGCATATAAATTGAGTTATGTGTGTAATGTGAGTTTAATTATTGAAATTAATAGTCTATCATTTCCGATAGATTTTGTAGAAGATATGACTATCTACAAAATTGACAATTTCTAGCATTTTTTTCTTGTCATCTCTGCATATTAGTTTTGTAATTTATTGATTATTTTGATCTCGCGTTATGTCCAAAATATTATATTTTCCTGTGGATACTATTTTTATATAATAACTGTACAAAATATCGAAATTTTGAGTACTTTTCAAACGAATCAAAAGACGCTTTCACACCCGCAGATTTTTCTATCAGACCGGATAATTGTTGCGAAAGCGGCATAGTTTCTGTGTGGCATAATTTAAATAGTGACTGTCGTCAAGTAGATTGCCGATGCCCATGTCTCGTGTGTTCTCTCTCTTTTTGCGTGAAAACACGAGCATGTCGCATGCGTCTCCGGTCAGTTAAACGATGGAGAAAACATTGTTCTAGAGAGAAAGAAAACAAGCTCCACCGATGCATAATGATACGAAAGCTGAAAAATATGGCAAAAGTCATTTTATTGTTCTCTGAAAACAATAAAATTGACACTTCTAAATACAATACGATTAATATTTAATTTCGACTAATAATTCATCCAGTGGTAATAAAACTGAGTATTTAAAATGTTCATTAAAGAATCTGTAGACCGAAGGAAATGTGCGAGATACTTTATGTATAATTAATTCTCTGGTTAGACACGAGTTCGGTTAAATAAATCAAAACTTAATGTCAACGAACGTATTACGAATGTAAATGAATTTAAAATATTTATTGCTACGTCAGTTATGTTTATTTCAGCTCGCGTGTTTTTGTCGTTATTCTTAAAATTACTGTATTTTTATCGATTTTCTGCTTTTCTTCCAAACTGCTGTAAAGCGTATTCGCGAAAGAACTTTTCTCAGGCACAGAACAGTAACGCTATTTCATTTCATTTGTGCGGGAAGGATCGAAATGTTTCCAACGTTAAAAATTTGTACTGTTATTCTGACGGTAGCGGCTTCCATCGGTAAGTTCTCATGTACACGGTGTAACGCGCGGATGATGTTAATAAGATGCAGCGAGGCGAGACTCTGCTCCATGCAGAGATCGTGAAGACGTTTGCTTTTCCTCGCTACGTGCGGAGGATGAAACATATTCTTTAGCGTGAACGAAGGGAGGAAAGATGTGCATTCATCCTAATTTTTTCAGACGAATATTTTTATGGTCTCTGTTGGCTGGTTATAATTTTGACATGCTTGGCAAAGTGAGAAAATATTCTTAACGTAATCAGAAAAGGAAGTGATATAATCGAGAAAGATATAATCGGGAGATCTAAAGAGATTGAAAATGTATGTGTGAAGAGTCGTTAGTGAAGTACGTTTAGCGACTTTCAATATAGATGAGAAACTTTTACTCTTTATTTCAATTTGATATTAGGAAAGTTTTAACCTTAACTTTTAGTACATATGATTTTCTAGTCCTTTACTACCTACGATAACTCATTTGTGTCACGGATTAATTGTTATCGTTTTGATAAGCATAAAAATTATAAAATGATTCTTACATATAATATATTTTAATACCTTTAAAAAAATTTATAAGATTGTGTATTTAAAATAATTGTACATAAATGTTATAACTGATTACTTGATATTTCTAATTTTTCGAAAAAAAAAAAAGAAATGGGCAGGACACGAATGATCCAATCATGTAATACTAATTGTAAGTTTTAAAACACTTTAAAATCTTTATGAAGATGATTTTTATTTATTATCGTGAAATTACACAAAGAAAAAAAATTATATTATTAAAAACTTTTTGCAGCAGTAATAAGAATATTTTTGTATAGAAAATGCAAAAAATATGATATACTAATTTTTTTTATTAAAAAAAGTCTTCTTTTTAAATATGTTATATATTTTTTATTTATAAAAAAGTTATCTTTTTTAAATATATCTTTATTATATTCTTTCACTTTGCAGTGCTCACAAACTATCCAAAAGCTGGATTATCTCGTGATCCGAGGATGACGTCGATGTTTCGAAGAGGCACAATCTTCGCGACCTTCTTCCTGTCATTGTTGGGCGGTGGGCTTGTCTGCGCCGCCCTTGTGACACAGCATTGGGTCGAGGCACGACCGTGGAGAACTCCGAATCCACAGGAGAGCGCCGGCAGAGTTCATTTCGGTCTATTACAGGGTAAAAAGGAATTAAACGTCGCTTATGGATGGAGGACGTATCACGTGTCCGGTATGTTGGCTATTATTTGTTTTCCGCCTTTCTCTTTATGTAACATCAATTGCGTTTTGTGCGCGTAATTACTTAATCTTCCTCTTCATAGAATATTGTAACCTTGAACGGTATGCACTTTAAGCATTATGTTCTAAGTTAATCGAAAATTGATAGACTGCAAGATATTATTGTTAGTTAAGATTTCAAATTACGTGGAGTTTGATGCAATATAATAACATGCAGGGTATTTCACAATTTGCCATATTAAGCGTGTATCACATAATTATGCAAGCAAATGCTGATTGAAATAAGTCTCTTTTTTGGATAAGGATAAATAAACTGTTAAAAAGAAACAGAGGCATATTTGTTTTATAAGAAATATTAGAACAAAAATACTTGAAAAATGATTTAATTTTCATAAAAAGAATTAAAAATATGGAAAAAAACGAGAATATCGTTAAATTATATAATATAAAGAAAATATATTGTTCATTTGTCTCATGAGAGACAAGGAGAATATATTTAAAATCCTGTTTTTAAAATTATACTTTTTTCGGTTTCAAGAATTACCCAATCTCGTAAAATAAATTCCTACCAATTTTCTTTAATGCTCTTATTTTTCGACGGAATTACTCCATCGGGGGTGATTATCTTGTGACACCTTCGTAAATCGTAACGAGATTCGAGTATTGTGCGATTGTGTTGGATTCTTTTCAAACTGTACTATTCGAGTGACTCGCACGACGAATTGTGATCGCACGAAGATATCCGTGAGAGAAAGGGTGATGGAACCTACTGGTATGAGCTAGGACAATAAATCTGCGACTGATAACTGAGTGCATTAGAGTTCTATTCAACGTTCGATGATGCCTGTATTTGATCGTGCATGCGTGTGCGGTAAATCATTGATTTGGTAATCGTCGTTAAATTCATTCCATTGATTTCTCGTACCGATCGAAACGATTGTTTCATCGATGGACGCATCGCAACATCCTTTGTAACAGATGCTCAAAGCACTCGCAATAATTTAAAAAAAAAAAGAAATGCAAAATTCACTGATAAAAGATTTTAACGTAAGTTTGAATAATTGCAAATTTTGATCGACATGTGAAATTATATGTCGTGCAGAGTTAATTATTTTTAATATTTTTGATATTATATAATTAATTATTTTTAATAAAAGTAAAAATAGCTTTTTTTTGTTCAGAATATTATTAAGTGTTTCAATTGATAAATTTTCTTTTTGTAATGATGTTACTTTTTTTTTTCATTATATCTTTTAATTATATTTTTATTTTAAATCGTTATTGTTATTACAAGAAGAAACTGTTATCGTGCTATAACTGACACAATAGCGGTCGAAGCACTCAACCGAAAAAGTCCGCTCTTTATAGCATCTTAGAACAATGTCTTTATAGATGCAATTCACAAAGAGATCTTTCAAATATAATATATATAGTCTGTCTCTGTTCTCTGTTCTCTGTTCTCTCTGTTTCCCTTAAGTTTTAATATTATAATTTATCAATTAAATTTTTATTCAAATTTCAGAATTATTCCTGAATTATTTCCGGAATTTTACGTGTAATTAAATTTTTATAATATCTCAATGTTAAGAAATCTGATCCGTTTCTAAGTATTGCCACATCCGTCAGGTGCACTTTTGTGAAACAAGGGTGCATTATGTCACGCGCGAAAAAGATAAATTTCTTATACACAATGCATAATAATCATGCCGATGAGCAAGCGACTTTTACGTAGCTATTATGCCGTACTTCCGGAGAAGAACAACAGAATCGCTGGCACGCGCTGTGAGAAACATTTCTCTTTCATTCAGGCGGGTAATGGGTCCGAAGGGATACGTAAACATGTATTCTACGATTACGTATATTCCACCAGGTATTCTTTTAATCGCAGTTTTTTGACCAATTTAAAAAGGACTTTCTCGACGAAAATATCAAAAAAGTCATTATTTTACATCTTTTTAATTATTACTATCATATATATTAAGCTTCAAATTAAAATCCCATTTAGATAACCTCAATATCTTGATCTCTTTACTTAAAAAATCCGTTTGAGATATCAAAGAATCTGATTAAAATAAAGTGCGATTCTTAATTACCACAGTCTTTAAAATGAATAAAATAATTATAATGTAACCGTTTCAGATTTTATTATAATAATTTTGTTAAGGAACGAGAGACAGAGATGGTATTTTAGAGGGAAATTCGAGCGTGTAATTCGCGTATAATTCGAGCGTAGTCTATCCGGGAGTGAGTATATACGCACGTTTGAATTTCTTCTCTCACAGTATAAAACCGCAGGCATGTGCATGCTTGCATGTTATCATATATATAACAAAAAAAACCATCAAGTTACGAGACGTATGCGGGTAACAATAGACACGGAAACTAGTTTTAGCGTACAAAAATCAACGACCAAGCCTCATAGTCTACTTTCACGTGGCCGCGAGTTACTCGTATCATCGCGCGTTACTGATGCTGACCGCGGTAAGAGTATCGGATTCTAGTACACGATCAATTTTATGCTGACCACAAGAGAGAGAGAGAGATAGGAAAAAGGAGCGGTCGATAATTCCACCTGATCGCGGTGTTCACAGTTTACGTTGTGTCTCAACGAAGTGCATTTCCGAGAAGCATTTTCAGTATGAATGCATTACGACATCATCAATCATCATGTAAACAAAAATTAGATTATTCGTACATTTATGAAGGAGCTACTCTGATTTGAAATCTGAGAGTAAATTCGATAAGAATAATGGAATTTTAGAAATTGAAATTGATGAACTCTAATGTTGTCTTACATGCACATATCGTGCCGCTTTAATTTCAATCAGAGATATAACATTGCGGCATAGAAATAAGAAATGCACCACACTTGAATTGAAACGATAGGTATAATGCGACTACCGACAGATACGTTTTTGAGTACTTGAGTACATTAGTGGCAGATACATTTTTGAGTCGGCGCTACTCGAGGAACTTGGCTGCCGCCTCCGGCGAACGCAATGATCCGTTATTCACGCTGTCGTAAGTTGAAATGTCTCACGGAAACTTCGTCGTATCCTGGAAGCGTAATGCGCGAAATATTCCTACTTATATTCGTTCTTTCACTCTCGAGCGTACATCACGAATGTAAAATACGATAGCAGCGGCTTTTAGTTTCCACGGCGTGCAATACATCCGCATCAACGAAAGACGTCAGAAGTAGCGAAGCATTGTGGATATTTTCATGTATGACGTTACTGAAGATATATTTTCATATGTAAAGTTAATCGCTCGAGAGCTGGCTCCGTTTCAATTTTCGGACATTACGCAACGCTTGCATAATCGAAGTCCTCATTTCTGTTACATTTGCAGTAGTAATTTAAAGTTATTTCAACGGTTATGGTGCCGATTATCGATGGCAATAACATAAAAATTGTAGAAATGCTATAAAAGAATATTAGAATATATCTATATAATTATTACAAAAAAGTGTTTAATTCTAGTACTCATAGGATTTGAAAGAGACAGTATAATTTTAGTTTATCATAGCACTTAAAAGAAAATAGTTAATTATTCGTATAGATAATTATAATTTTATTTAAGATCTATTTTTTATTCCTGTACTGCACTAGAACTCTTTTTTTTTTAGCTTTCGCTAAATATCTGTGGCCGATATTCATAATCCGTCCTTATTTTAAGATCGTCTCTTGAGTAATATCTTAAAAAACGATTATACGGCTTTCTGATTGGTTCGTGACATCTTAGGACTGTACTTAAGACGGTCTTAAATATAAGTTCCGACTATGAATACCAGCCTATATCTCACTTTAAGTTCCAAAAATGTATACTAATTCAGAAAGTTACAGAAAACTAGATTTGTAATTATGTTGAAATTGTACTTCATTTGTTTCGAATAAAATTATTGAACAATAAAAATCTTAATATTTCAGTTCCTCAAATGATCCGGCAAGATCCATCGGTGATGTCTTGGGCTCTTTGGATCGCTACCTTAACAACGACTTCGGCTGCTTTGGTAGCGGCTGCGCTTGCTGCACTTTTGGCAGTTTTAAATACAGCTACTTCGCCAAGATCGAAGATTTTATCCATTCCTGGTGTATACTTTATAAATATGTTAATGCGTAAGTATTGTTTTAACACTGTTTTATCAAATTATAAAAATATTTTCTGAAGAAAACCATTAAAACATATTTCATCATATCTGTCTAAGACAGATCGTTAAATAATCTTTTTTAGATTTCTAACGCAAATTTTAATAATAAAGTTCCAAACATAGAGTAAATCACAAAGTTTATATAAAATATATGAAAAATTAAATGGTAAAACTCTAAAAACTGTAAGTTATAAAAATAATTACATATCATATGCAGTATGGACTCTTATTCGTGACTTATTTTTAGTGTTAATGTGCTTAGCAAGCACTTGTACTTGGTTAGCGCAATACTATACGAGACTATACGTTAATGTGCTTCCGAAGGAGGACATCGATAACATGTGGACCAGCGAAGGTTCTGCTGAGCTTGGTTATTCATTTTGGTGAGAGATATACTACATATATATATGTATATAATCTTTACGTTTACACGATAAAACTGCTACGTTTAAATTGAGAATTAGAATTTTTTTCTAACGTTCTTATTTTTAATTTGAGAAGAATTAATATGATTTAAAATTTTTTATCACATTTTTTCCGACTTTTGCAATTCATTTATAAATACTTAATTAATATTGTAATGATCACAAGAAAGAGTTAAATGTCTTAGAACTACTAATTATTTTAATATTAAAGAAAAACACCTTAAATAAATAAGTAAATGTGCTGTGCGAATTAGCTAACTGAATTAATTAGTAATCATATAATTGTTGTAAATATCTACATTTTTTAGGATTGAAAAAAGTTTCTTTTCTAAATTATCAATTTTCATGTGTGAACTCAGTGTGTTTCTCATTTGCAATTATTTTTTACTTACACTTAGTTACTAAATTATATTCAATAATTTGAAATAATTCGTTTATTCTTATTTTTTGAATATTTTTCCATTTAGGCTCGTAGTTAGCGCTGGTGTTGTACATCTCATTAGTATAGCATTAATCGGCTGGGGCTCGGGTAGAGAAAAGGATGATCGTCTGGAGCCAATACCTGCACTTGAAGAGAAAACTGCCGCAGCGATTATGTTATACTAAACATTATAATAATTTAGAAATTGCGGGACTATGATTGAATTACGCTAATATGCGTAATATCGAATTGATAATAGTATATATCAAGAATGAAAATTTGCTGAGATTAAGCAAAAGAATTTTCGTTCACACCTCGCACAGTTCCTAGTTATTTGCTAGGCGTTTGTAATCATTTTCCTTGATACAATTCAGTTTTGCAACAGATACCGTGCAATGTTATATCAAATTAAAACGCAAATATAAACATAGCAAGTATGTTTGAAGCGTGAATATGTTTGATGTGCTAATAAGGAACAGTACTTGCTATATATATGTCGAAATAAGAGTTGGAATATGACAATACATACCGCCGTGTGGTATATAATATATACATTTCGACATACTTTATGCATTGATATTATGCCAGTCCGTAATACTCGTGATTCCAAAGCGATAATAATCGTAAAATGAGCATTTTATGTCTAACAACGATCGATTACGATTGAAAGTTATGCGCTATTCGCTTTATGACAGAAAAAGACGAGATTGAGCATGGAAAAACGCTTTATAGTAGCTTAATCTATACATTAGTTGTTTATCAATAAGACCGCAATCTAGACAATTATCGTTTTAAACTTCGGTTAACAAATTTCTATCATTGGTAGTATGAACATTTGTATACAGATGTGTGTAAATTAAGCGATAGGAATTCAGATGGTATGCATTATATCATTTTTATTATCTGGTTATCTCCCGATATATTTTGTAAGTAGTTAAAATTTATTTTTCTTATATTTTTATTTAGCACTATTTTTTCTTTTTTTTTTTTTACAAAGGCGATTGTTTTAACTAGACTGGGCTCTTGAGAACAATAATATATATATATATATATTTCGACGTATTTAATATATATACTACTATATATATATCTATAATTTAATTAGTTAGAGGATATTTTATGAGTAAGCGTGGCGTGCCTTTTCTTCGAGACATTTAACATTTTTAACTGTTATTTTGCGAGATTATTACTTCTATAAAAAATGTACGATTTTATCAATTTTTTAATCATAGCAAATCGTACGTATCATGAAATGTAAATACAATAAAAAGTTTATCCCTCGGGAGTATATTTATTAAAACGATTTCGCGCAAACAGGTCACAGAACATTGTACAATCCTCGTACGTATTTTATTTCCTTTATTACTTCGAGATCCTCGTCCTTATAATCTATTTCAAGTAAATGGCTTCATGTATATTATATACAAGGATAATCGCTCGTCGTGGGTGTGTGTGATGGGAAAGAAATGTACATTAAGAATCGTACATTTTCCTCTTAAGGAAAGATGTGTGATAAGATGTGGGATAATATAAAAAAGTTAATGAAGGGGTATAGGATAGAAGAGAATTTTATTGATATTTCTGTAGTTTTTCTAATTCTTTGAAACGAGATATTTTGATTACAATAACAGAATGACTATTATCTGTACAAAATAAAAAAAATAGCGAATCTGCATAAAAAAATTTGAAACATCTAAACAACTTAAATAATCTATATTTAATCAGACATCTTAAATGTGGTTTTGTTATTTCTATTTCATACAGTAATCAATAAAATCTATTATATCAAATCAAAACATCTTGTTTCTAAAATTTTCGCTATATATCTACCTCTAAAACTATTCCCCTCCCACTTTCTTGTCTGGAAGAATAAAGCCACACACAAAACAATAAAAATGGACAGACTTCCGTAGATAAAAAGTCTATTCGTGTGTGTATATATATATATATATATATATATCTTTAGATAATTATAAACTTATATAAAGTTATATGTGTTGTGTATATGTATGTGTGTATGTGATTAACTGAGGCTTTGATGTCAGCGCCGACTAACTTTCGACCAGCCATCATCCTCTAATGGTCGCCTTCTCTCGTCAGATCTAGGCGGAAGTCTGTCATCTTTACGATCCTCTCGTCTGAAATTGAAGTTTAAATTAAAATGTAATTGAGCTTGATTGATGTTTGAAGCTTAATGTTTATTTCGCTAAAAACTTGTATCACATTTGTATGATTGTTATGCTTTATTAAATTGTTATTATTACATGGTTATTACTAATACACTTTTTATAGATAATTATATATATATTTTTTTTTACATATATACTAACTCGCGCTTAGGTGGGTCTTTTGAGGAATCTTGAGGCGGATCGCGTTTCCGCCAGTCCTGGTTAGTATTTGTCCGTGCTGGTTCATCACGACGATCACGGTAACCACCACGGCGGTCGGACATTCTACCACGATCACGATCTCGATCATCACGTATTGTGTCACGTGGAATCTCGCGTATCTGCAATTAGGTAAATCAAAATAGTATTAAAAAATACATGTATCCAAAGAAAGGTAAACAATACATAATTTATATAATATAATTAATAAATGAAATATAAACAAATGAAGAAAAAAAATTCTACACGTAGAAAATATTTTACAGTATATGTAAAATGTATTGGATTAAGATATAGAACGTATACTTACTCCACGTCCATCTATTCCACGGTCACGGTCACGGTCACGATCACGATCACGGTCGCGATCATCTCTTTTCTCGAAACGGTTGTCTAACCTATCTCGATCTCTTAAATCTTCTCTATCGAAGTTATCATCTTTCCTCCATTTATCTATGCTATCCTTTTTCCATCGGTCTGAGTCATCGTTTCTTCTCCATTTGTCTACGTCGCGACGTGGTTCCCTTTCTGGTTCTCTTCTCTTCCATGAAGAATCCTCGACCTTGTCATCGCGTTTCCTCCAGCGATCTGTGTCGTTTTTGAGTCCATCAGAGTCTTTGTCAGTATTACGCCGCCATGACTCCATTGCTAATAATGATAAAGAATAATACAAATTAAATTTCATTGATATTTGTATATGTGATAATATCTAGTGAGAAAACATGAAAATGTATTGTACTCACAAGTTTTCGGACCATCGCGGTCGCGGTCACGATCGCGATCGCGATCACGGTCACGTTCACGATCACGATTACGATCGCGATCACGGTCACGATCACGATCATCATCCAGACGCCGCCATGTTGAAGACAGTTCTTTATCTCTCAACCGTTCTTCCTCCAATTTACGTTCTATTTCTGCTTCCTTAGCTCTAATAATTTCAGCTTGTTTCTTAAGCTTAGCCATACGTTCGACTTCTCTGGCTTCTTCTTCAGCTCGTCTGATTCTTTCCTCCTCCTCTCTCTTAGCTCTTTCCTCTTCAAGACGTTTCTTTTCTTCTTCTTGTTTAATACGCAATTCTTCCAATCGTCTTCGTTCCGCAGCTTCCGCACGCTCCTTCTCCCATTTTGCCTTACGTTCGGCTTTACGCTCCATTTTGCGCTTCAATAAACGCTTGATACGCTCCTCGTTCAACAATTTTTCAAATTCCTTTAGTTTTTCCGTGTATATGTTCCTACGCTCAGCTAAGATCTTAGCTAAGAAAATGCCATGATCCTCTTTCATACGCGCCAAGCGCTCTTGAGTCGCGACAGCTTCCTGTCTCTCTTCAATAGCTGCGGCAATTCGCTCGTCCTCCTGCTGCCACCAGAGTTGTTGCGCCTGTTGCATCCTGTCCTGCACAGCCTTCTCCAGCAGCGGAATCTCCTCGAGCCGTTTAGCACGCTCGAGATAATCGACTTTCTTCTCTTGAGATTTGAGTTTCTGTTGCATCTCTCTGCGCTCTTTCTGTAGCTCTTCAGCTTCCCGTGCTGCAATTTGTTCTGCATCTAGTTTTTTTATTTCATCTTCGTCTAGTTTTTTCAACACCTTTTGCCCGTGACTTGTCTGTGAGATTTGCTGCATCTTTTCTTTAAGATGACGATCCTTGATTTGCTGAATCTCGCTCTGTTGACGCTTTCGTTCGCGTTCCTCTCGCTCTTGTTCCAGTCGCTTCTGTTCAGCCAGCATCTGTTGCCGCTGAAGTTCTTCCTGCCGGCGTAACTCCTCCTCTTCGCGGACAGTATTGATGTGCTCGATGTACTCCTTTCGCTCCTCGATAATTTTGTGCCTGCCTAATATTCTTTGATGCTCCTTCATCTTAGTTTCATGATAGTGAGCGACCATCGCATTGCGTAGTTTCTCGCGCTCAAGTTTCTTCTTGTTAGGATTTATCACATTAATGGCACGGTGTAATACGGTCGCCATGTTCACTAGTTGGCAGCGTATTTGTTCAGAGGGCATTGCTTGCAATACCGGACCGTCTGGATGATCTTCTCGTTGTGCTTCTGAGAGATCTACTCCGAAGTGAACACATGACTTGCCGTGATCTATTCTGATCTGCATGTCATTATAGCGCACGCAATCTACCAAAAGACGTTCAAGATGAAAATCAATGGTGAATTTGGCGAGTTCCAGGAGTCTGGAGAATTGTATCGTCTGATAAACTTGAGAAATCTGATGAACAAGACGTACAAGTGTAACATCCTGCAAAGCTGGGATGTATTGGATTAAAGAACTGTTTTCGTCTGCCTGTAACGTTTGAATAACGGAATCGACTCTGCTACAGAGTTCTAACGGATGGAATTCCACTTCTAACCACAAGTATAATTCTTGCAACTGTGGCGACGCCAGACTGACAACATTCAAACGAACAATGTCCTTCAACAGAAAAACGCGTGTTGGTGGTTGCGAGAGACCTAAAAGGGTTGCGAGCTTCTGAGCTTTTTCTAGCGGACTCTTGTCAGTTTCTATGAAACGATCAAACTCAGGATGCGCAGATGGCAATGGTATCGACAACGTTGCCAATAATACTCGATTGGCCATTCGCTGCTGTTCCTCCGAAGACATATTCTTTTTCATTTCCCGAGAGAGCTGTAAAAGTTTGAACAGTGCAGCTGCATGAAACAGATAATTGCCAGCCTTCCAGAAAACCATAGCCAATTTCTGATAATAATTGGCCATTGTTTTTGGTACAGGGAGCTTCTTCGACAAATTCATCATACCATGAACGTCCTCCGAAGATTTAAAGGCTTCCTGCCATAATTCCATTTGTATCGCAGAATCTAATTGATTTAATCTAGTTTCTAGATTTAACTGTTGCGTTTCCGCCTTATTCATAGAGACATTCGATACAAGCGGAGGCAGTTTACATATCTCTTCAAGATGCTTCCGCAATTTCTCGCATAACTTACGAAATTCAGTCTTACGATTATACTCGAGGCAAAACTGGAAGGCCATACGTGCAATATCATGGTAAAGAGTTTCTACATGCGCATTAGTTCTGAGCAACTCCAAGCACTGACAGTACGATTCCCACAAGAATTTCACCCAGGGTGTTAAAATAGTACGATCGCTCCTGTCTTGCGCATCTTCACCGCTTACAGCTGACAGTAAGATGCTCTCAGGTGTGGCAAGATTATCAAGATCGTCAATGTCAATTACCGCTTGTTGACTTTGTTTCCGTGCTGCATTAGTCTTCTCTTCAGCCATTTTCAAATAACCACGTATAACATTTTCCAAACTTCCAACATTGACAGATTGAAACATGTTTCTGTACTGGAACAATCCTTCTTTCGCTATGTGCGATCTCTTCAGTTCCACACAGAGATCCAGATACTTGAACATTATAGGTTCCAAGACGGACTCTGACCAGTTGTATGTCCATTTTTTATTGCGGAAGACTTCTTGTAATGTGTCTAATGCTCGAGCTGGCTTACCCACTTCTATGAACTCTGTTTACAAAAATAAGAGAACTGTCAGTAAACTATATATATATTAGAAAATAATTTATAAATTAATTAATTTTTTTAAATTAAATCTATTTTATATATGTAATTATTATATAAAAATTATTAAATGTGAAAGATATGAAATATTGACAATTAAAGCCCCAATATTATAATTCTTAACTTTAACAAGATAGTGTTGATATCGTAATTGCACAGATTTAATACATGGTAAAAAAATTTACACATCCATAATACCAAGACTGTTAAGAATTATAAAATAAGGACTAAACCCATTCTACAATTGTGTAAGCGCAGTTGTAAGAATTAACTAATTGAATGAGAATATTTGACTGTGATTGATCAATTCTTATATAACTATAACCACTTATAATTACACTTACACAATTGTGGAATTAAGGCTGACAAAAAGATTTAGCTTTCGATTAGCTATAGGATAAAGAGAATCAAGAATGTCTTTGCTTGCAGCCAATTAATACACTTGAAAAATTTGTTGCATATACAATAAATGTACTATCTAAATTATTTGAAGTGGACTTTAACTCCAAAGAGTGAAAATTGAGTCAATCTTGAAAAAGTGGTACAATTTTCAATCCGTAAAAGTAAGATTTCACTCTTCAAAGAATAAGATTTACTCTAAAAGTTTTAGGAAATGAATAAATCAGTTTTAAATTAATTTTAATCTATTAAAACTATTTAACTATACTGTGTTACATATCCTGGATTCAAAATAAAATATGTATACCCAGGCATTGCAAATAAAAAGAAAAACATCATAAAAAAATTAATTTATAACTGAGTATTCGCTTTGTTCTTATGTAACAAACAAGAGGTCTGTTTTTTATTCCTGCAGTAGTCCAGATAGTGCTTAGCTAGATTCGACGACAGAAGAAAATAAGAGACATCAGATTACTTATTCCAATGTGCTTGTTGAAACTATGATAGGAGCATATTGGAGTATGTGATGCAAACAAACTTTAGTCCGTTCTTTGTAACGGCACTAAAACTTCTCTTGCTTTCACCAAATACCAAACATATAACTATTTCATTGATGCCTAATTTCTTCACTTCCAGATAAGTTGCGAATAACTTTATACAGGAGATATCTAGAGATGAGGAAATTGGGCATAAGTTCAAAAAGTTTATACTAATTCAGCTACAGAACTGTTATTATATCTACAGAAATTTAACTAATCCGCATCATTGTGCATATGTAATGGTAAAGAGTATATAAACTTTACAAGGTAAAACATGGGTAGTAAGCTCGGCAAGACCTTCCTCCAGACTGTACAATTTTTATACGTGCTAAATAAACCGCAAAAATTACTGCGTGTGCAATCGGTAGAGCATCGCAAGCATTTCAGAGTACAGAGCGTAATCGTAGCATTTCGCAATCCCGATGATTATGGAATTCGTCCGATGCGAATACATATGGTCGTGAGAGGTCAGAGCTCTACCGGGAGACGAGTAGTCTCGAAAACACACTGATTTCTCAGGACACTGTGCGATAAGGTCAATAAGAAAGAGTTGCCGATCTCCACGAGCGGGAGCAATGGAGGACGCATCCTCGCGTTTTCTGCGCGAATGTCTCGAAAGGATGCAAGCTTTCTTTTTTCCTCACGCGCGAGCCAGCGGAGCTTGACGCCATTGGCCATGTCACGCTCGTCTAGCACATCAGGCGGAACCCTACGGACTTACCGTTTGCCCGTTTCAGGGCGTTTTCGGGTCTCTGCCCGTAACGCGCCATGTTTCCTTCTCGCGACTGCGGCTACAGCAACACCATAAATACCGGCGAGACCTCCGCGGCGGCTTGAAGACGTCGAAATTTCCGTTTACGCGTGATTACGTGCATCCAACACGTACTCGTCGACCGCGTGTACCGGATAGGAGAGGCGGCCACTGAGGAAAGATGGCTTCCCATAATGCGCAAGTCAAATTGTGATCTGACATCCGGTAAAAAGCCGCGCGTGAACAGCGATCGCTTCTACCGCGGAATAATCACGCGACTCGCGTCTATCTGTTATTTTAAATTCACGCTTTATCTTCGCTATGCCAGCGATTCGACAGCATCTACGACTCCCGCGATAAATGCATTGAGATGTTCGTGAATGGACTGTTGACTCACCAAATAATCGAACAACCCCTCGCATCAGTGGAAAGTCAACGGCTGATTGGCTGCGCGTCGCGCCTTCGAGATTTCGATAATCGCGCTTCCGTCGATAGATTTTGAATTGGCGCCATTGGCGGTCATAATCTCGCAGATCGTGTTGGCGCCGGTTCATATGAGATTACATTTACGTATATATTTCTCAGAAAGCGTATCGTACTTTTGCGATCGTCATCGTCCGAAAGCGAATTTCGCGCGGAGGGTAGAATATTCGTCATAATGCGTCGGTACGTCGTGTATGATCGTATAATAGTGTACGTCATCGCCGATGAAAGATTTTGAGAGATAATCACATCTTTTCTCCTCCCTGCCGACCGGTCGACGCTACTTTTCGATGGAATCATCCTTGATAGAGAGATCGTCGTCAAGAGAATTGAGATCGTCATCAGGTATGTATGTACAATTTACGGTATAGATAATTTTTGGACTTTTTTTTTGCTTCGCAATATCGATCGTTTCGATAGATATATTAGACGAATTATAGTCGATACAAGTATATCCTACATGCGCAAAATGTAACATTCCTATAGAATGTTACATAAATACTATTAAAACATTAAAATAAGTTATAATATTTTGAGAATATTATATAATATTTTTATAATATTATGAGAATATTTTATGTTATGTCTCCACTTATATAATACCCTTTGTATATTTTCTTTAATATCCTTGAAATATTATTAAAATATTTATTAATATTAATTATGTTTATATTTGTGCGCAAATTGAATTCATAATCCTGTAACGAAAAGGTCTTATACATCAGTCTATGGGTCTTGTGCATTACATAACGTTTCGGTGTGATTGTATGTATATAGTACTTATATTCAGTTCTTCAAAGGGCTTTGAGTAGCTATTTAAGTGCTTTGGTGGAAACTAGATGGTTCTTCAAGGAATGTCTTAGGCTAATTCTACAATGTGCTTTTCGTTTCCTATTTCTTACTATTTTCTCTTGCCTTCTTGATCAAAAAGGCAAGAGACAAATAGAGACAAACAGCAAACAAAAAGCATATTGTAGAATTAGCCTTAAGGACGTTTCCCGAGAACTATGTTGTTTAAGAATCGATCAGTAATTGAGTCATTATTGAAACATACTGGCAAGTCATATTTTTCATGTAACAGTGAATATATGTACAGAAAATAGGCTTTTTGTACGAGTGTTGTAGATTTTATTGTATAATTTTACTAAATAAATATCTCTTATAAACATTTAACAATATATAATATCGAAAATTCAAAGCTATAGAGCGAAAATGAGAAGCAATGAACATAAAATGTTTGTAGAATTAACAAACGAAAAATATTTATATTTTAGTATATGAGACACAAAATAGATACATTTTATCTCTCATTCTCACTTTATTCTCCACCGCGTTCAACATATGTTTAAAGACTTTAATTTATAAAATTATTATAATACAAAGAGATTTTCAGCAATGGCCAAATTAATGAGAAAATTTTCTACAGCCGGCGCCAAATTTTTTTCTTTAAATATCTCGACAGATATCATTCTTTTGCCATCTGGAGTTTGCACTGTCGCTAACGAAGTTAACTGATTTAGAAGATCTTGCGTTTTGTCACTTATCTCGGATATAACCTGTGCTTCTGTGTAGTTTTGATTTTCACATAGTTGAACCATGAACAAAGCTATTTCCTTGTGGGTTTTTGTCATTGTAAGACTTTCTGAAAAAAAAAAAATGAATAAAGATTACAGATTAGAAAACACACTTTTTTCATATCCATGAGATATTTCCATTGCGTTTATTTTCATATCTATGAGAATTGAGACATTTCCACTGCAATCTTATGATGCATCCGAGGATGCATCATAAGAATGGAGATGTTTCATGGATATGAAAATTAACGAAATGAACTTATCTCTCTTCTTTCTTACCTTTGGCGTGCGGTGCTACAGTAATTTCTCTAGCAGGAATATTTACAAGTAGATCGTACAGATCTATCCTTGACGATATTGAGCTATTACTGCAGCCTGCCACATAGTGCGAATATTTCTATAACAATGATAATAATTATAAAGCAATACCATTAAGAATGACATAATGATAAATAATAATATCAATAATATTAATATTTCGCTCCATTCTGAGTAAAGAAATTATATTTTATTTATCACATTTCTCTTGCTATACATTAAAGATATACTCTTTAATAGAGTACATGCCTTCAATTCGATCAACTCATCGTTCACCAAATCAATCCAAGGAAAGAGATTGTCAGTAACTTTCCTATGTTTCATCAACGCAGGAAATGTTCTTATCCACTTAAGAAGTTGCTCCAGACTGTGATGGTATACAATAATTTTCTTTTTCAATAAGAGAGCGGTATATATCAAAATTGTTTCTAATTCGAATGTTTTAATCAGCTCTTTGACATTGGTACTAGCTGCAAAACGATGAGTATTAAAATCATCAGAGACAAACGTTCCATTCTCTTGTGTCGAACATGATCCCTTTGTAAATACAGATAGGTATAACTGTAAAATTTCCGTCGGCTTTCCAGTTTTGCAATACATCTTGCTAAGGACCCTTGAGAGCACTTCATACTTTTGTGGATTAAAGTCCTTTGCAAAAAGAACCAACGCAAACTGTTTTACCTGAGATAGAGTTAAAAATTTAGTACTTGTACCAAATATATAAGAAAATATTTCCTTAATAAAAAAGGTTTAAGGAATATTACCTTCGGTAGTTTGTCAGAGTCAAATACCTCGCTGCAATGTATGTAGAACCAATCGTGTCCATGTCTCGCACATACAAATACATGAGGAGATGTATGCTCCAACTTTAAATTGCATTTTCTTGTAACTACAGTCTTCTGAGATTCTGTAACAGCTGGATACGACCATGTCCACAACACATCTCCATTACAGTCTTTCTCTGTAATTTTTATTCTTGATTAAGTACAATATCTAATATGTATATACTGTATTTTAACTTTCTATAAAAATGCTATACCTATTACACTGCAAGAAAGTAAATCCGTTAGTGGTGCCATTTGGAGCTCTTGAGACTTTTAAAATAAGTAACTAATACAGATAAATAACTATCAATAATAATAATATATTAAAGTATTCGTTATTCTCCGCTTTGTGATGTGTAAAAATTCACTCTTTGGTATTCTACATTTCTATTATTAAATATTAATAACCCATTAGAGAACAAATTATTAGTATAATGTATCGACTACTGTCAAATTGCGATAGAAATTGAGGTTATGTTTAAATTGCTTCTCTTTCTCTCTCACTTATTCTCACTCACTCTCTCTCTCTCTCTCTCTCTCTCTCTCTCTCTCTCTCTCTCTTCCACTCTTTATCTAACAATATCTATATATTATACATATTGTGAAAAATAATTAATAATTGATATCTAAATATTTTAGCTCGATATATAAATCTATATTTTTGTGAAAATATTTTATCAGAGAAATCATTGTCATCAAAATTACAAATGTTATATATATTTCTGCATATATTTTATTTATGCAGTGATTTGTAAAAAATGACTAAATATAATTCTATTAAATAATTGTATATATTCTACATTAAATTTTAATACATATAATGATTATAATAAATTGCTCAAATTGTTGAATCCTATTTGAAAAATAAATAATAAATAAATAATAAATAGAAAATTTTCTAAAGAAGAAAATATAGTTAAATGATAACATAAACACAATTGTTATAATTAAATATTTTATTTATTTTATCTTTCTTTTTTATTTCTTATGTTATTTTGTTTAAGAGATAAAAATGTTACATTTATATTTATAATAATTATAATAATATTATAAATATTGTAATCGAATATATCAGTATCTATATTATCTGCGATATATTATATCTATGATCAGTAAATATAGTTGAAATAGATTTTTAGATTATAAGTAAATAACTTGAAAATTTTTTAATCTATGAGACGATAAACAATAATAAAGGAGCAAAATAATCTCTCTCTTTCTCTTTACGTTCGACAAACAGGTGTAGATCTAATCGTTTAGTTATCGCGCGATTATATTGGCTCTATCTTCGATATTAATAGAAAAAAACAATGCGATGTAAAAATAGTTTTGAATTTAATATATTATTAATAGTTGCTAATACATCAATGAAAAATTCTAGTTATACATATGTATATATAAGGCTTACTCTATTCAATAAATAACATTTTCTTTTTTACACTATTTTCTAAAATTATTTTAATTGAACATTTTCAATGCGCAAATTACCACTTGGCTATTAGGAGCTTTGCCAAAAGGTTTATTTCCATTAGATGTCTCGTATTTATTCACTTGATATACTTGTATGGTTTCATAACCGAGCACATCTATACCAAGTTGCTGAAGTTTACGTAAAAAAAAATTTAATCATGAATTTAGCAAAATTATGTATTCCTATAATAAGTACTTTCTGTATCATAAATTAATTATTTAAGAATTAAGTTTATTGTTTACCTGTGTGAGCGGACTAGTGTTTGTAGTAAAAATTCCGGAGTACTCTGTTTGTTTGGCGAACTGCAAACAGTATTCTTCCATATATCTTATTGCAAGCACGTTCTCCGCAGGATTCAAATCGCTGTTTGTTCCTGTAATGCTTGTATAAAGAATTCGACCTTTATCCTTTGGTAATTTGTACTTCTTTATCGGCCCCTCTAGATGTTCAAGAAAATCAATAAGGATCATTGCTTTAGACTTCACCACCACTACAGGCTGATTCCAAAGATTAGCGTTAAGAGTAACCCCGATTATTTTGCCATTCTGCGTTGATTTCATCACAAAACTAAGGTTCTGCTCTAGATAACAATTCCATGCGACCTCCACTGTTTCTCGTACATCGCTTTTCGTTAGGTCCGGTAATAACCACTGTTCCAAATCGCCTTTTGAATAAAAGCTCTCTGCGATTATCCTGTAAATTGAATACATCAGGATGGAAATTTATATTTAAATAAATTTCCATCCTGATGTATTCAAGTATGGGCGAGTTTTTTAATCCGTCTAATGATCAATCGCATTATGTGCAAATGCAGCTTTTAGTAAGTATTACGCAACAAAATTACATTTGCGCATAGTACGATTCATTAATCAATAAATTAAAAAATGCGTCTTATATATGACGGTAACTGTTGCGAGTTTAAAATTTAATTTTGCATAATACTTACTCGATTGCGTCTTCTTTATGGCAGTCACTTAATGATTCAAAAACGTATGGCTTTCGGTCGATAACTTCTTTCAGAGGTTCTTCATTGGATGATATGAATTTCATTCGATTTAGTACATCGGCTAGATTTTTCGCCGTAATAAAATCCGTGATACCGATTTGATAACCTTGATCTCTTAACTTGGTCACTGTATAAATGGAATTTAAAGAATTTCCGCCAAGTTCGTAAAAATTCGCGTATAGCGTTACTAACGCGCGATTACTACATCCGATTACGGATGCGATAGTCGGAAAGAGGACACGAGCTTTTACAAGATCTTGACTTGGCACGTCACTGTAATCGCAAGACGCATCGTCTTCTGTGGAACAAAATTTTTGTATTTGGTTAGTAAGATATAGGTATATTTTTTGAAAAATAAATTTTAGATTTTTCTTTATTTGCTTACATAATTAAAAGAAGTTAGATCATAATTTATCCTAGTAATAAAGTTATTAATACTTTAACATCTCATTTGATAGCTCACAGAAGTATTACGACGTACATGGATATTTTATTTGATATAGAACGAATATACCTATATATGTATATAATAAGTAATCGGCATACCGTCATTAAAGTAAGATAATTCATATTTTTTTAACAATGTTTGTCGATCTGTTTTTCCATTGACTAGAAGAGGTATGTAATCAACAATAAAAATTTTTGGTAACATATATGGTGGTAACATTTGCTGAAGAAAATCTTCGATCTCGTAGTTAGATAGAGTCGTATCATTCATGATGGTAACAAAGGCTAGTAATATCTGAACATGTAATATAAAAATATAAAGATATAAAATGAAAAAATATATCTACATACAAATGAATTTACATCTATTAAAATGCTTGACTTTCATAAACAATTTTAAATATTGTTAGTAATTTAAAAATGGTTCATTTAGAATACACGGACAAGTTTTTACAAAAAAAAAAACAATTTTAATCGTCATAAAACTATATATAGTAGAATATTTTTTGAAGTATTATTCGACTTATGAAATATCGATATTTTATTGATAAATTGCATTGTAACATGCAAAATGACGAGCAATCACTTTAATGATCGATTTTATATTTAAATCTTAGAAAGAAAAAACGTAATATGCTCATTTAGCATTAACGAAAGTATGTTAAAATGCTTAGATTTTAAAAGAATTGTTTGTATATATATTTTGGCACATATATTTCATTTATATACACAAATATTGTATATTAAAATATTTACTTGAGATAGTTCGCCTGGTTTGTAACAAAGAACCACAACGTTATCGATATCGGGTATTCTGGCGATAACTTTTTCAATTTCCGTAAGATCGACACGGTGACCCCTAATTTTAATCTGTGAATCCACTCGTCCTTCATAAATTATCGATTCTTTGATTATTTTAGCGTAATCTCCCGTACAAAAGATTCTCGAATATTCTGTAGATAAAAATCAGCATATTTTTAAATGTAAAATGTATATCGAAATCGTAATAACTTTCATATAAGGAAATCTCTCCATGCCTTAATTATTTCGCTCGTTATTGAACACAAGAATTTATACGTTATAGTGAATTCTTCAAGTTTGAAAGACGAAGCATTCAATTTTATTGTTACGATATTTCCTTTCCTCACCTGAATCGATAGTATAAGGATTGTCTAAAAATTTATGTGTGTCTTGTTCACATATATAACCCTCAGCCAGGTTTCTTCCAGCCACGATCAACTCTCCGATTTCCCCTTGGGGAACCACTTGCATGTCCTTGTTTACAAGATAAATTATGCAGTTATCGATCGGTTTTCCTGCAACGAAAACATAGTGAATAATGTAAATGTTGTTTAGTGATTATTCTTTTTTAGTATATATATAATAATAATTTTTTAGTAATAATAATTCACTGAAATGAATTTTTAATTATTAGCTTAGGAACTAATGGAATACCGATTAAATGTTTTGTTACACTATTTTGTTTTGTAATAAATTTCGTTATTTTTGAATATTTTGAGTATTTAAGTATTTTATTGAATATTGTTTCATTATTTGTTGTTTTTTATTATACTATTTTATTTTTTTATTAAACTTTTTTATTTCATTAGATGAAAAGTATTTTATTAGTCTTTTACGTATATGTTGATGAATCGAGAATTGTTCTTACCGATTGGCACTTTCTTCATTCCTTGTAATTGCGTCCGTTTGCTTAATAGATAATATGTAACATCGGCCATGACTTCTGTACTACCGTAGAAATTAGCTAATATTTTATTCTTATCGTTAAACGTGGTAAAAAATTGGTCTGCCAAAGCTACTGACAAAGTTTCCCCGGAACAGATCCACAGTTTCAAATGATCAAGAACGTTGTCATTATTCTATGCAAAGACAAAATATATTAAATGTTATGTTACGAGGCGGTAAATATTCTTGTAATACAAATTATTATAAGTCTTAGGTATCTTGAGCTATGATAATAGAATAAAAATTATGTTCACGATGCATTTTAATATAGGATTATACAAAGAAAGATGGATTATAAAGATAACAATAATAAAAATTTTCTATATCGCTTCGGATAATTAGTACAATCTGTTTTTATAGAATAATTAGCATAATTAAGATAATTAAGATCTTCTTCTATATGACCTCAGCGAAATGACTTTTATTAATTAAACATTTAATCAAATATCTATCTGTATTGCATAAGTTTCGAGAGCAATTTATATTTACTTGCAGAAGAATTTCTCAGTCGCGAGACCGATATATTGATTTGGGAATCACCGAATCGTGAACGAATTGCTTCTTATTTATCTAAAAATATAGCTTTGCATAGGTATATATTTTGTAATTTGCTTAAGCATGACAGATAAACTTGTTGGACTAAGCTGATGTTGAAATGTTAAAACAAGACTATTTAAAATTATCGCAAGTGTCAAAGGAAAACGTCAGTATGTCTTATCATATACAATTGATTATATTTTATGCACAATAAATTATTATTATTATGAAATATTAAAAACCATTCATTTTTTTAATAGTCAAGGACTAAAAGAGAAGCGTGTCATTCTTGGACATTTGTATAATGTAACGTAAAATCAAGATTAGTTTCCAAGAAATTTACGTAATAATAACAAGTACATATATCTTTTGATCAAAAGAGACGGTAGTGTCTTTGCGCTAAGAGGATACGCAGCGTCTTATGATTGCACGAGACTGACTATGTAACCTATTTTTACGCGAGCTGTCGAGTTTTTCAGTAACGCGATTATCGGATTATCTGAAGACTGAACCGATTAAATTGTATGTAATCAGCTTGCATTCAGATTGTATAATAAAAGTGCACCGGATAACGCCGGAGACTGTTGAACAACATCAAACGACGACATGGACGATTATTCACGGTTCCAATTAAATTCAAACAATTAAATTTAAAATTTTTTAACTTAGTACAACAGCTCTTTTTAAGGAATACGTATTCTTAGCACATCTTTTACCTTTTTTTTTTTAAACGGTATGATTATATTGATAAATTATATGTGGAATATAGTTTTGTACACTTACTTGTAAATTTAAATACATGAGCAACGAACGCAGTAACGATGGCACGAGAACTAAACGTTGTACCTGAAACATAGATTTAACATATAATAGTAGATAGATGACGTCATTAATGTAACCCAGATTAAAATGAAATCCGTTACGATTAAAAGCGCTATATGACTTTATTTTGTATAATAATCTGTTTCACAAACGATGCCTGTTTTAAATTATTATAGTTTTTTACATTTCTAAAATTTTTTTATATTGTTACAATTATACACGATAAATATTAGTTTTTACCTGATGCTTTTCTAAAAGCGGTATAAACTTTTCTGGATTTTTAGTCACACATTTCGGCACAATTACTAGAGTTCGACTTTGTAAAAGAGGTCCCCAAATTTCGGCAATACTGTCAGCGAAAGTAAGGGAAGTTTTGAAAACACATCGTTTTTCATCATCAGTATATGGAAATTCACTCCATTGCCATTGTAGACGATTCAATACAGTAGCATGTGATATAAGCACTCCTAGAAAGTGTATATTAATATAATACAAACTTTGAATGAATGTATGATAACTGTATGTCACAAACGACTATGCTCTTCCAGACTTACATTATCTATAGCTAGTAGGTATTCTATCATATAAAAAAATGTAAAAAAAAGATTGTTAACGTTACACGGTGTTCCCAGGCGGTCACCCATCCAAGTACTAACCGTGCCCAATGTTTCTTGACTTCAGTGATCGGACGAGAACTGGTTTTTTAAACATGGTTTGAACGTTGACGAAAGTATGTGTTGTATTTTGCTCGTATTATTCTATTATTTTATTTAAAAAAAAAATGTAAAAAAATTGTCAACGTTACACGGTGTTCCCAAGCGGTCACCCATCCAAGTACTAACCGTGCCCAATGTTTCTTGACTTCAGTGATCGGACGAGAACTGGTTTTTTAAACATGGTTTGAACGTTGACGAAAGTATGTGTTGTATTTTGCTCGTATTATTCTATTATATTACCTAATTAGGAGTACAAATTAGTTCGGTCCGTTTTCCAAAAGATGATCGTCTCCAAAGACGAGTCATTTTTACGAGATGGAATTCGAAAATTGCCTGAGAGATGGGAAAAAGTAGTAGCCAACGATGGACAATACTTTAATTAATCTGTTCATTCATTTTGTTTTCAAATAAATGCATTTTTGAACACAAAAAATGGACCGAACTAATTTGTACACTTATATATATAATAGCACGAAATACAATTTTCGATTAAAGTGTAAAAAAATACCTTTAGGAACTCCTGAACTTCCGGAAGTATAAAGAACGATTGCGAGTTCATTTGAATCTGTTTTGGTTTGTAATGCATATTCTTGTTCTTGTCTGGCTTCTTTCAAAAGTTGTTTATACGTCATGATCAAACCTCCCTCATAAATTGATAAATCTACTGAAAGCAGAATTGTATTTATATTTAATTATTCATATTGAAAGAATAATTAAAAGAAGAAGTATATATATTATAATTTTATTATCTTTAATTATATCCAATTGAGATAAAGTGTAAAAAGATTCTTTCATGTATATTTATGCATTGAGAAAAAATGTATTAAATCGTTATAGATACGTATTTTTTTCATTAATACTAACTTAACATTTATTTTCAGTAAATATTTACTCCATAAAAAGATAATAGTTAAATCAAATTAATTCTGTACTAAATAAGTATATGTTTACGTTTAATAAATATTCAGCTGGCACTATTCAAATAAATATTTATTAAAATTTAGCACATTTTTTGTAGTATACATTCACGGTCTTGTGAAAAAAAGCACATTGCAGCAATAGGAATTGCTATATTTAGATATCTCATGCTTATCGAATTATTGAATTATTTTTTATCATGTAGAACATAGATATTGTGCACTCAATTTAATGATAGATGTATAGTCCGATATTGACTTTGATTGATAATTCTAATAATATATACTACTTATAATACTCAAGTATCTTTAAATGGTACTATATTATGAAATTTTATATGAGATTTTAGTAAATCTCTAAAAATTGTTTAATGCAATTTAGACATTGAATAATAATCTTAAATTTTTGATAATATTTATTTTGATAAAAAAAGATATTTACCTCCTTCTTCAATCAGTACTATTAATGGTTGCGCTTCCTCGAGAATGTGTTTTGTTCTAGATATCAGAAATTCCTTATCTAAAGGTAGATAAGCCATCCCTGTCTTTAATATACTAAGTAATATAGTTAAAAGGCGATGTGATGGTTCCATGCAGACACCTATTAATGACTGAGAAGTCATTTCAAATTTTTTATAAAGCTTTTGCATAGCTCGTGCTAACTGATTGGTGATGTTATCCAATTCTTTAAAAGACAGTTCATATTCCTTTCCGGTGTCATCTATAGTTTTCAATAGTTTAGATGCATATATTTCGATACAATCGCCAATAGTGCGCGCTGGCATTATTGGCATTATTAAAATTTAATACAACTGATTAATTAAATTATCAAAGAACATACTTTGTACCATTTTCATGAAGTGATTTCATTTATATTTTATATCGGGGAGCAAATCCTTACCTTCGTAATATATTGCCACTTGATTCGGATGAGATCTTGCTGTACTACTAAACAATTCGTGTAATAAATTTTTCTTTTGATTCCTTTCAGTTTGCTGACCTTGTAAAATCGATTGTTGTCGCAAAGTACCCATTTTCAAACATTCAAAGAAATTGGAATTTTTTTATTCGTATGATTAATAGAGATCTAAAATGTAATTTACAAGGAAAATTAATATTTAAATTTTCACTAACAATTTATAACACATTAAAATGTTTCTTAATAATTTACAATATTCAAAATTTTCGAATTAAAATACAATAAATTAAAAAAATTTATCAAGAAAATAAGGTATAATAAAAAATTAATAATTTAATAATAACAATACAAAAAATTTAAGCAAATACAAAGGCTATTAAGAGTCAACGCTGTTAGCAGTGCGCAAAAACACAATCTTAAAATCTATAACATAGATACCATGTCGTATACGACATGGTATCTATGTTATAGATTTTAAGATTGTGTTTTTGCGCACTGCTAACAGCGTTGACTCTTAATAGCCTTTGTATTTGCTTAAAAAAAATAAGGTATAATAGTATTTGTTACTTATTATTCTTTCGGGCAATGGTTTTTGAGACATGATGACTAAAAACTGTTCATTTTAATAGATAAATCTAGAAAAGGAACAAGTCATTTATCATATTTTTTTCAATATTAATAAGAAAATGTTTACTTCTTGTCAAAGACTAACAAAATTATTTTTGAGAATTTAAATATGACATTTAATAATTTTTTTTCCTAAAATGCATGTCTCTTAACGAAGAAAGTTAAATTTGTAATAAGAAAGTTAAATTTGAATACTTTCATATTTTTTTCGCATTTAATGTCGAATATAGCCACACTCGACTATGCAATACAATATTTTTTAATTTCTCACTATTTTAAAGTCTTTCGTATAATTAAAACCACGTGGTTTGCATCATAAGTAAACCTCAATGACTTTTCTCAGATTTGTTATAAGAGTGAACCTTCAAAATTATAGAAATACCAACCTTGGAAAAAAGCCGAATTGATCATAACCAGAGACACAATGAAGAGTTAAATTTTTAATTCACAATTACTCGAAGTTAAATTAATTAATTTTTAAGATTCGATTGTTGACTATGAGGATTTGTAATATTAAATGTACCTTATAGATTCAAATTACACTAAGTCCAATAATTAAAACTATAAGTCGAGAAATTTATTAATACGTCTATTTTATCAGTTTGACTCTATATATGCCTTCACGACTCCTCATTTATCTCATTTCTGAATTGGTTACGCGGGATTTCCCACTCTCAAAAGATCGCCCATCTCGCGTTATCAACCTTTCTTAAAATAAATTTCTAAATATTATTGAGAAAAAAATGTTTTTTTGATATTTGGAAAAATCATAAACTTCGGTAAAAATAAAGATCTCCGCATGAATCGATTTTCTAGATTAAATGAAGCCGAAGATTATTTATTAATAAAATAGAGGTTTTTACTTAAAAGATGATCTACTTATTTGAATTTAAATTACAATAATTTGATTCATTCATATATTATCAATATAAATTATAATTTTAGATAAAAAATAAAACCCTTGCGATTCATAGATTTTGCTTGTTGTTAAATATACTATATATATATATAAAATTTATATTTAATAATATATAATTTAACATATATGTATAATAATTATTATAATATATGTATATAAATTATTAATTAAACATATATAATATAAAAATTTTCTTGTGTTAGTCAAAGCAATCTATAAGAAAATCTGGTCAATAATCGAGCTAAATAAAGGATGTAAAACTTTAATTAAGACATCTATTACATATCAGTACGTTTCGTGGCCACATAAATACTTTTTCAGCATGTAATTTAATATAAGTTTGTAATATGAATATTAAAATAAAAATATTGAGTCGCAAGTTTACCAGTCCTGGCATAATATGTTGAGTCAAATTGTGCATAATGTGATATTAGTTTCCAAAATAGGTGTTGAATCCTTGATCTGATATTTTTATAGTTGTTAATTTTTTTAATTGATTGGTCATCGAACATTTCGTTGTTAGGCAAAAATCAGATAAACAAAGTCAGTAGAATAAATTTTTTTTCCTTTTTAAATATATAAGTTTAGTCATCTAGTTAATAGTCAAAAAGAGAGAATAAATTAATAAACAGTATTAAATTTGTAAAAGAAGAGTAAATTCAACACTTACATCAGAAAAACTAGAGAAATACACATAAAACCTTTTTACAGTCAACGCATAAACTCAATGAAATGATTTTCGCGAGAACAGACTGAAGAGAGCTAATATCAAAAGATTAATATTAGAATTAATAGAATTAATAGAATTAAAGATTTTAATGAATCTAAGGCTCGTAGCCCTATTCTCATATTAGTTTTAATATTAATTGTTTTGGAGATAAAATTTAATAAATAACAATGTCAAAGTTAATATTATTTATCTGTTATTTATGTTGTTGGAGACAGAGTTTATAGACAATATTTCGAACTTTATCAAACTTATTTTTTATGATAAATTTCAATTTGTTTAAACATTGATAACCAGTTACAAAAATAGATTTATTAATGTATGAAATAATAGTGTTTTTTCTTTAGATATTTGACGAATAAGGTATACCTTTCTTAATAAGTATATATAACTTAATATGAGTTTATAATATATACATTATATAGGAGAGATTAGGGATTGTTGATAGTTTTTATTAATGAAATTTGTGCATGTAACTAATAAATAGAATATAAATCATGAAGCCATTTTGTAATAGCCACACGCTTACATTACAGAAAAATTATTTTTATAGTTTAATAAAATGATTAACTTTTAAATATTAATAAAAAATATAAAATGATGCACTTTGTAACAACTAATCTCATTTGCGGGATCGGATGTTACTGGAGTCAGTTGTTACAGATTTAGAGATTTCAAAATATTATATTACATTTAATAAAATGAAATAAAAAAATATGTGTATAACACATACATATATATACTTTATTAATAATTTTAAAATAATATATATGTATATACATATATATACATATAGGGATGTAATATTAATAACATTTGATATATTTGAACAGTTTTCTCTTCTTCTTACATACACAGAAATAAAAAATTGTCAATTTGTTGTGTTCAAAAACAAAAAATGCAAAGAGAACGTTTTCTGCAACATAGAATGTAAAATTGAACAAGCTTTCCTGCTTTTTTTCAAGTACAGCACCATCATGAGAACTCGATAACGAAGTCGGATAATATGGAAATAAGAAAAAAACGATGATAAGGTCTAAAAAATTTTTAAACTATCTCATTAGATTCATATATACATGTATAAGTAAATATATTCGTACACATCTACTTATAATGTGTAATTATTGTATGTATATAATTATGTTATTATTTCAATAAGTATTTATCTAATGGAAGATGTCCACGATTATATCTTATACGTAATTTTGCTTAGCCGGTTGCTACTATATATTTTACGCTTAGGTTATATTGAAGTTAAGTGTAACGACGAAAAAGCAGACATCTGTAACAACGTATCCCGTCACAACTAGTCCCAGGATATGATATATATACGTATTTCAATTATTATTTATGCAGGAAATATATGTTAAAAGTTAATATAACTGTAAGATGTTGTTGCTTATGAAACAAGAATTCTGTAGAAATAGTTAGAATTGTGATATGGTGAAGAGATCGATAAATATAACATAAATATAATATATATCACTGATTTATTTTACTTTTGGCTATCAAAAACCTAAAATATTTTCTATTTCAGAAAATATGTTATTCAGCCTGAAATAATTTATTGCAGCATAACCGCAATGTTTTTATAGAAATATTATATTTTTTATGTAATATATTATTGTTTATCGTTTAGCAGCAATTGTAAATGTAACAACATGTCCCATGTATCAATCCCCGGTCCCCCTCTGTTGAAGAAGAATCTGTGGTCATGAGAAACGTACTGATATCTAATAGATCTTTAAGTTTTACATCCTTTATTTTACTCGATTTTTGACCAAATTTCTTTATAGATTGCTGTATATAATAATGTTAATGTAATATTATCTCATTTTTGAATTGGTTATTTCCCTCTCATAAGATTATCCATCTTGCATTATCGATCTTTCCTCTAAAATAAATTTTATATAGTAAATAATAATGTACATGTATTAATTATTGTAAAATATCAGTTGTCAACGGGCAAATGAGAGTACGGCATGGTTGTTGTTACGAAAAATAAAATAAAAATAGATTTTCTCGAAATCAATTTATTAAAAAATTAGAACGTTTCGGTTCATTTTGAACCTTCCTAGATGAGATGTTCCAATTCTAAAGAAATATAATTAATATAAGAAATATAATTAATTATATTTCTTTAGAATTGGAACATCTCATCTAGGAATTTGACATATCTGACAAGGATCATATTATGTAGAATTAATGTTTAAATGATTAAATGCATTAGCTGAGGAAAGTTCAAAATGAACCGAAACGTTCTAATTTTTTAATAAATTGATTTCGAGGAAATCTATTTTTATTTTATTTTGCGTAACATTTTGCGTAACAATAACTACGCCGTACTCTCATTTGCTCGTTGACAACTGATATTTTGGAACTTCAAGAGTCCACACGCATACGTATTGTTTATTATTGTAATTTAAATTTTTAATCCAATATTCTTTGATAAATTATCTGTAAGTGTTTTCGTGTTGTTAGTGTATAAGTAATATATGTAAAATCAGATAATTCACAATTGATAAGAAGTGATAAAATGTAACTTGTAATTGGAATAGTACCAACAAAATTAACTCTACAAACATTTTGATTCTGGATTTGAATTCTCTTTAGTACGGAAGTCAAATCTTATCACTTTATACGCGTGCGCGTTTATCTTATCGGCTTAAAAATATATTATTTACGCATTAACAACCATGGAGGTTCTCATAGGCAATTTACTTATAAACAATAATATAAGTTTAATGTGGTTTAGTAATAAACAAAGGAATTAAACGAAGGAATTAAAATGAGCATATACCACGACGCTGGATAGATTTAGCGAAAATATAATGTATTTCGT